TGATTGTTTGATGTTTAGTCCTATGCCTTCTTCTTTGTTTGTTTAAGAAAATGTATAGGGCCGCCCAGCTCAGTCTCAGTGACTCTGGGTGGTATACAAAGACAAAAACCCAATATAAAAACGATAAAAATCAAGCATCTTGCAGATGTTTTACCACCCAACTAGGGGATACCATCACTGACATACTTCTGGGTATACTTTCGCACTGGGTTCATCCAGTATTCTGAGCCATGGGTTGTTTTTATCAAGTCTAAAGGGTGACAGTGGTCTGGTTGGACAACCATTTGTCTGAAATGTTACAGGGCTTCCTGCTTAAGCAGGGAGTTGAACTAGAAGATTTCCAAGGCCCCTTCCAACTCTTTCTGTTAATTCCCCAATCCTTGCCAGCCATAATTGAATGAGACATTTGATGGGTTCCATCCACTCTAGGATCCCCAGGCCTGTTGTCAAAACCAGATCTTCAGAGCCTTTTGAAAGAGTGTCAAAGTGGGGACCGATCCTATCTCCATGGGGATGATGTTCCACAGAAAGGGAGCCGCTATGGAGAAGACCCTTCTTCTTGGTTCTGTTAGATCAGGGATGTCAAACACAAGGCCCGCGGCCCACAATGTGGACAGATCTGGCCTGCAGGGCTATCCTGGAAAATATAAGGGGCCAGCCCACATCACTTTGGCCCGGTGTACCCAAAGCAAAGAGGAAACCATCGAGCCAGCCTGGCTTCAGCCTCCTCTACCCAATGCAAAGAGGAAACATGCCAGCAGTTTGGAGAGTGGCATCAAGCAGGCCATGCCCACCCAGTCAGCCATAGCCAGTGAGTGGCATCAAGTTGGCCATGCTGACCCAATTGGCCAAAGCCACATAGTCGACCGTGCCCATCTAGCCCCATGGGGTTAACCACAACCCTGATGCAATGCAGTTTGACACCCCTGCATTAGATGGACTTTCTTAGGAGAGAGGACCCATAACATTCATTGCCTCTCCACTCTTGTGGGTCAGGTAGATGTGATCGGGAAAAGATGATCCTTCAAAATAACCTGGTCCTCAGTCTTCTAGGGTTTTGAAGGTGACATACTAGCAGGGGTGGGCTTCAAAATTTTTAGTAAGCAGCTTCTCTGCCCTAATGACTGGCTAAGTGTGGCTAGGTGGTCATGTGACTGGGTGGGTGTGGCCAACTCGACATCACTTCTTTGCCCTAACTTACCTAAAAAAAAAAAAAGATAGTACACCAAAAAGTTGTTTATTATTTCGTGCATTTAATACTTAGATAAAAGACTGGGTGAAATCAGGCTTAATAGCAGTGACCGTAAGAGGGATCTTGCAGTCTTAGTGGGGTTTCTGGAGAGTTACATGATTCTTATTATTTGGGAATTAATCCCCTTGGAGGCTAGTGGCTACGTTGTCTGATCTTCTCAATGGTGCTCCTGCAAGCACTGAGTGGATTGTTTATCTAGCTTGCAACACTTTTACCAGGTGTGAAATGCTCTTGGCTGAATGCCCAGAAGTTCAATTAAGCCTATTAAGAGCTTCCCCTTGCTGCTTGCTTTTCTGAGGTTATTGGGGGCTCTCCTAAGCCTCTGCAAATCCCCAGAAGCCCACCCCTGCATATTAGGTCATGAAATAGCAGAACAAGTATAAGTGCCACAAAAGCAGCAAGACAGTGGCTTTGTATTGCTGTCAAAGCAAGGCTCCTTTTGTACATCTTGAAATATTGCATGCATATACAAAAATGCCAGGGCTTCAGTCACAATACTATTGTTGGCAATTTGTAGATTCTGGCCTCCACCACCTTTCATCTGTGGACCTGCCACATTGTATACCAATTGCAACTTCTAGACATTTTCCAAGGATGGACTTCTATTGTCTATGTTACAGCCGGACCAAACCAAATGATTACCAAATTACAAAATTCTTCTGCAAAAATAGACAAGCTCAGGAAAGATCATAGCTGCTGATGCAAAAGACCTGTTCATCATCCATCAGCAAATCCAGGCTGCTAAAAGACCTAAAACATTCTTTTTAAAAAAAAATCTAAAATGATAAGGAAATAGTTTTATTCTGTTTACCTGGCACATGTATAAGTGTCTCAATGCTGAGTGAATAGAATGGCTCCCAGTGCATATTCCTGTTTTACGCAGGGAAGGAAGCATAACAGCATGATGTGTGAACTGCGAATCACCATCAACGGCTGATGAAAATGTTTTCTTTTTGAGAAGGACAAGATAAAGACTGTGGTCTGTCCAAACGTGTGTTATAGTTAGCAGCTTGTCAAGTGTTCTGTTTTTAGAAAAATGAAAATTACTGCCTTGGGATGCAATCATCATTTGGCTAAAGTCTCTTTTACTCCTTCCAAGAATAAGAGGCTTGTGTTAACTTCAAGACAGGAGGCAAACATTTGCTTTACTCCTTTTAGAAATAAGAAACGATGGATACCTCTATGCTAGTTTTATTATTATTATTTTAAAATAAAGTTTGTTTTAAAACTTTGGTTTGACATCCCCTCCCACCAGCAGACATAAAATTGTCAACATTAATTGTATGTTCTTAAGCAGCGAGAAACTGCTTTGTGTAGGGGTTAAAGCAAGGGTCTTCAAACTTGGCAAGTTTAAGACTTGTGGATTTCAACTCCCAGAATTCCTGAGCAACATGATTGGAGGAGGAATTCTGAGAGTTGAAGTCCACAAGTCTTAAAGCTGTCAAGTTTGAAGACCTCTGCTCTACAGTATCTATCTTCTATCTCCATATCTATCTATCTATCTATCTATCTATCTATCTATCTATCTATCTAATCTGTATCTATCTATCTATCTATCTATCTATCTATCTATCTATCTATCTATCTATTTCAAGGGTCTTCAAACTTAGCAAGTTTAAGACTTGTGGCCTTCAACTCCCAGAATTCCTGAGCAACATGATTGGAAGAGGAATTCTGAGAGTTGAAGTCCACAAGTCTTAAAGCTGTCAAGTTTGAAGACCTCTGCTCTACAGTATCTATCTTCTATCTCCATATCTATCTATCTATCTATCTATCTATCTATCTATCTATCTATCTATCTATCTATCTATCTATCTATCATCTAATCTGTATCTATCTATCTATCTATCTGTCTGTCTATCTATCTATCTATCTATCTATCTATCTATCTATCTATCTATTCCAAGGGTCTCCAAACTTGGCAAGTTTAAGACTTGTAGACTTCAACTCCCAGGATTCCTGAGCTACCATGACTGGAGGAGGTATTCAGGGAGTTGAAGTCCACAAGTCTTAAAGCTGTTGAGTTTGAAGACCCCTGGGTTAAAGTCACAAAAGTAGAAACTGGGGGACTGTACGTTTTAGTTTTCCTTAGGCAAGAAGGAAGCCAGTTGGGTGACTTTGGACCAATCCATCTCTTTCAGCTCTTGGAAGAAGACCATAGCAATGGTAGCATGCTAAAGGTGGTGTGTTGGGAGTGATACACTTTGAGAATAGGTAGTAAGGTGAAGAGTCTATCCAGTGGGTGTAGAGTTGGGTCACTTCTGCTAGGGCACGATCTTCTGTCAGTGATAGAGATGAAGCAGGGTGGACGAATGGTGGTTTAGCCAGGGCAGCTTGAATCATGTGTCAGCTGCATATCCCTCTGATCTACTTTTAGTGTCAAATACGCAAGGTAACATCACTGTATAACAAACTACTTCCAAATGGTGACATTGACATTATCAGTGATATTGAATATTTTCAGCACAGAGGAATGAGGACGGTCTTAATAACAGTCAGGATAAAAAATAATGTAAATCCCTCACTGTACTTTATCCTACTGATTCTTGGCGGATGTATTTTTTTTTTATGTACATTGAGAGCATATGCACCAAGACAAATTCTTTGTATGTCCAATCACACTTGGCCAATGAAGAATTCTATTCTATTCTATTCTATTCTATTCTATTCTATTCTATTCTATTCTATTCTATTCTATTCTATTCTATTCTATTCTATTCTATTCTATTCTATTCTA